GGCTTCACCTTAAACTCGAAGAGGCCGTCCGGTGTTATGAACGCCGTCTTCTCTCGGTCTCTTTCGTCGACTTCGATTTGCCAATAGCCAGTCTTGAGGTCCATTGACGAAACGTACTTGGCGTTATGGAGCCGATCAAGTGCGTCGTCTATTCGTGGGAGAGGATACACGTCTTTTCTTGTGATTTTGTTCAGGCGGCGATAATCGACGCAGAAAGGTAGGGTCACATCCTTTTTCTTCACTAACACCACGGGGAATGCCCATGGACTCTTGGACGGCTGGATAATGTCATCCCGCAGCATTTCATCAACTTGTCTCTTCATGACCTCACAATCTCGCGTCGAAACCCTGTATGGACTCTGATGGAGTGGTCTGGCATTTTCTTCGGTTATGATGCGATGTTTCGTGATTGGGGTCTGCCGAATTTTCGATGACGACGAAAAGCAATCTTCGTATTGCAGGAGCAGGGCCTTGAGCTGTTCTTGCTTATCGTTCGGTAGTCTGGGATTGACGTCAAAAGCTATGGGAGGGGCTTGGTTCCTCTGAGCAGGTTCCACAGAATCGGCGAGGGCGAAAGCACTGGTGGCTTCGACGAATTCTTCGATGTATGCGACCGTTGTTCCTTTGTTCACATGTTTGTACTCATTGCTGAAATTCGTGAACATAACCGTTGCTTTGCATCCCCGCAGCTCTGCTATTCCTCTTGCGACGCAAATATTTCGAGTGACCAACAGATGCAGATTGCCTTCAACGACGCCTTCCAAGTCAGGTGATTTAGGAGCGCCGACTGAAATAATGACGCTTCAGCGAGGCGGAATGGTGACTTGTTCTTCCAGCACATTCAAGGCATGGTGTCCTGACGGCGTGCGCGGTGGTAGTGCTTCTTCTGTGGATAACGTTATCGACTTTGTTTTTAGGTTGATGACAGCACCGTGGAGGCATAAGAAGTCCATGCCAAGGATGACATCTCTCGAGCAACGCTGTAGGACTACGAAGTCTGTAGGATAAATACGGCCGTTAATGGTAACTCTCGCTGTGCAGATTCCTGCAGGCGTTACAAGATGGCCTCCGGCTGGGCGAATTTCAGGGCCTTTCCAAGCTGTCCTAACTTTCTTTAACTTCGCGGCGAACGACCCACTGATGACAGAATAGTCGGCTCCAGTATCGACGAGAGCGGTCACACTGTGGCCGTCAAAAAGAACGTCGATGTCGCTAGTTCGCCGTCTCGCATTACAGTTAGGGCGTGGCGTCGGGTCACGGCTGCGTCGGCTTGATCCGCTGCTTCCATGTTGTGTCGTCAGGCCACCTCCGGTAAGTTAGCTTTCGCCGTCAGGGCTTTGCCTGGTTGGCATTGTGTTCGGAAAGCTCCGTCGTGGCGTCGTCGTCGTCGGAGGATCTTCGGTAGTTCGTCGCACAGCAACCGCACCTCCACCGGTTGCTGCCCTTAGTTTCCCGGATACGGGCTCGGAGACCGGCCCCGCGTTGGGCCGGAGTACTGCCGGGGGTGCGGTGACATGCGGCGGCTGGGCGACGGCGAACGGGAAGGACTTCGTGGTGTCCATTGAGTTCCTGTGAGGTAGTTGGTGATGTCACGTGGCCGTTCCCCTGGCTGCGGACGTGGTGCATTGACGGCGAAGCCACGCAGTCCCATCTGTCGGTACTGGCAATGGCGGTAAGTGTGCCCGGCCTCGCCGCAGTGGTAGCACAGTGGGCGGTGGTCAGGGGTGCGCCAAACGTCGGTTTTCCTCGGCGCACTGCGCTGGCCCGATGGCGATTGGTAGGTCGTCGGTGGGGGTGGTGGCGGCGGTGGTGTCTGGCGACGGAAGTGCGACGGGGCGGCGTTTCGGCGTGGACGGGGAGGAGCGTTGTGGCGCACTGCAGCGGCGTAGTTCATAGTTTCTGGCTCGGGCAGCGGTGTTTGGGGAATTCGAAGTGATTGCCGAACTTCTTCTCGCACAATGTCGGCGATCGAATCCACTTGAGGGTGCGCCGAAGGCAACAGTTTGCGCAGCTCTTCCCGCACGATCACTCGGATCGTTTCACGCAGGTTTTCGGAGTCACTGGTTTGAGCAGCAGCGCATTCTGGAGTCAGGCGACGATTATACTATCTGGTGCGCATGTCAAGGGTTTTTTCGATGGTGGTCGCCTCGCATACAAATTCTTGGACGGTGTTCGGTGGATTCCTCATTAGTCCCGCGAAGAGGTCCTGTTTGACCCCTCGCATGAGGAAACGAACTTTCTTCTCCTCAGGCATGTCTGGGTCAGCGTGACGAAATAGGCGGGTCATCTCCTCTGTGAAAATTCCAACCTTCTCATTTGGTAGCTGAACCCGGGTCTCTAGTTGAGCAGCGGCCCTTTCTTGGCGAGCGACGCTCGCGAACGTTTGCAGAAATGCGCCGCAGAAGACATCCCACGTTCGGAGCTTGGACTCACGATTCTCTAGCCAGGTCCTTGCGGTGTCTTCCAGGTAGAAGTACACACGACGGAGCTTTTCTTCGTTGTCCCAGTGGTTGAGGGCGGCCACACGGCCGTATGTTTCTAGCCAGGACTCCGGGTCTTCGAACGATGACCCATGGAAAATTGGTGGTTCCCTGGGTATGCATGACAATCGTGGGCTGGGACGCGGCGGTTGTCATTGTCGCTGCAGTCGAGGTCATGGCCTTGGTCTTCCGCGCCTTGTCTTCTAGAATCCCGTACTCCGGTGGTAGCCCTTGCTGTCGGCGGCTTGTTCGCTGCTCCTGGTTGGCGTCGGTGTCTTCTCCGCGACGTGGGCTGGGTTCACGGCTTGACGGGGGCGTCCGGTACATAAACGAAGCAGCACCTCCACCAGATGTCACGGGGTCGCGACGTGGCCGAAGACAGGAGACTTCGTGTTGGGATTTAACTGTTTATTTGGGCCAACCTGCGCCTGGTAAACGGAAAGTCCAATTACAGCAGCAGTCTCGCACAGATAGCAGTCTCGGACTGATAGCGGCGAACGGAGCGTCGGCCTTCGATCAACAACTGACAAGCGGCGAAGCGCGTCGGCATTTATACTCTTGCCGTCGAATGTTCTAGCGTTATCGCCGGCGGCGGCGTTGGTTCCAGAACAATCTGTACCGTTCGCGCAGTGGGCGTGATCTTATCGAAATGATCTACTACAGTCCGGAACCTTCTCGAAAAATGCAGGCGCAGTTCGCGCTGAGAATGGTGTAATGTTTTGGGACGATAACAAAAACTTGGGAAATGGAACGTGGCAATATCAATCAATCAGCTCACTGCAGCACTCCAGGAAACACTGAAGTGCACGTCGAGGCAAAGAGGATCCACGATAACGAAGGACGATTTGTTTTGCGAATTTCGCACACCTGATACAGATAACCTGTAGCGTCACTAAAGACAAATGATTCGACAAAAAATCAAAATGTCCAGACTTATATTTATTAGCACCTTTGCAAAAAACAAAGCACGCCATCAAAGTTAGGAGAAAATGGAAGTTTTGAAACATTGGTCCACTACTTCCCGAATGCCCCAGATATCAAACACAATTACAAGTATTACGACGAAGTTCGGAACTTTTAGATAGGAGGCCTTTCACGGTGACAAAAGTATTAGGTTCATGGCCAACTGCAGGTCTTCAGAAAACACCACTTTTTCCTTCAAGAAGTCTTTTGCAAAATCAAAAATTTTATGGAAATATTGCGCTATCGTATGCGATATCGTCTTCACGCAAAAGGAAATATGTAATAGGTAAATAATATGTTTCATAAGTGTAGTCATCTATATCAGTGTGAACTGACTTTGTATGTAGAATATATGTATCTTTAGGTGAATGTGAACTGTTATGTGAAGTGAACTGACCTTGTGTGTGGAACATATGAACTTAGTAGCTGTATGTGAACTGACCTGTGAAATTCGGCAATGTGTACTTTCACATCATACGTTTTGCAGTCTCGCATTTCCTTTCCTTATGGTTGACCTTATGACATATCTTGCCCACTAAAAGAAAAGAAGTAGCCGGTGCCACCATGATGACACCAACCACTTTCTCTTCATTATTTTTAAAAATATTAAAATTAATAAACAAGGGGCGTAATATTTTTCAGTGATTTGCCCTGCTAATTTCTATTTATGATGAATGAGTGCTGCAAAATATTGAATAGAACTGGCAAATCTTGGTTTACTTTCGGCCTCTGTTCCCCAATGATGAAATGAGCTCTTGAAATCGGCGTTTATAGTATAAGCTGCGCCAGACTATATATAAACGGCGCCCTTAGTAAGAGGAGCAATACGTTACCACCCTGGTAGCAATCTTATGTGTATGCAACATACGTCTGATGAGCGGTGGTCACGCATGCAACACCTCAATCTACACAAGAACACCAATCTATGTTGAGAGTTTTAGTTGAACACCAAGGAATGCGCCGAAGGCTGTTGTTGCACAATAAAATCGTAATATCTATGGCTACAGTGCGTGAGATTAACTGAATTTCCATCACTGGGCAGACCATCGTCTATCACATCTTCTTTCAATGACTTCGTAAAGAAACTATATAAATATTTTGTTATCAGTGCCTTATTTTTATTAGTATTTCTTACATCTGTGATCTAGCTGCCGTCTACGTCAAGTATTTTGGCTAAAAAGTTGCAGAAAGTAATCTTGAGAAACTGAAGGAGGAGATTGGAAAAAATGCCTAAATTGACGGCAGGCTAGACCTTAAGATAAGAAAATCGGCTACGCAGAAAATATTGCCAATCATTGTGGAGGACGCCTCTTGTTAACCAATAGTGTGTCACAATATTAGTGTCTCATAAGCAGCCATAGGCCACTTTCTGAGTAGATGGTATGATCGAGAGTGATTTGAAGCAATAAAAATGTATTTGATGTTGCGCGCAACAAATCGACCCATCTCCGTGTTGTTGAACTGATATTTGTATGGGGTTACATGGATTAGTTGCAAGCGCAAGTCATAAGTGAAAGGGAAATGCTCACTAATGATATATATTCACATTTTCTACAGCCTTCGCATCAGGAATAATAATGAGCCTTTATGCAATTGTCATTCCATACATGGGCTCTACCGGTAGGGTAAGTGTTTTACTGTAGATATTTGTTGCTATCCCCACAACATTACTATAGCTTGTGCGACTTTTTATAGCGAAGCTTTTATATGAATATAAGTGCTTCCGAAAATATTGTATGCGTGTTCCCACAATCGCTTTGCTCTACTTGAGCTCTACTTTTCTTGTGCGACCTCAGCCAACCTAAAGCCATTTCTTTTCCTGACACTTTCTCAACACATTTAAGCCTAAAAGAACAGGAGAGCATGCCGAAGAAACGCTATTCAAATAAAAAACAAGATCGCTGCTTTGTAAGCAAGAAAATGTTTTTCAGAATGTTTGTTGAAAGTCACGCGATTTATTAGGCATTTTGCCAATACAAATTGAAGGTGACATTGTTTTTTTCTTGATTTTGCTGAATAAATTGTACGATTCTACCTCGTCCTCCTTCCCGTAAACTCTCTGGACTTCGCGTGGCTTTCCAGCGTCTAGGGAATTGTCCGCGCTCACCGAGAAACTGGCTTGTGGCGTCACCTGACACGTAACAAACTTTGGCTACCTTTGACATCACCGAGTCTTAAAAATTTTACTATTATACGTAACTGTTTTGAACCACTGGCAATGATGCGGATGCCCTAGACGGTTCTCTTACAAAATTCTATATATTGACCTTTATAAAAATTCTCATATATGGCTACAGCAGTAATTGCGCATATCAGACTTTATACTGAATTCCCATATAAGGGCCTTATGTAACCTTTCACACACGATTTCAGATATAGTCATATATGGGCTCTATTCAACCTTATATACCCATATATGGAGCTTGCTGTATATGGCTATATATTGCAAATTCTATATATGGCTAAGTATAGGCATCCATATAAGGTTAAACACGGCCTTGCGGGATACTTTTTTATATAGCAATTAAGATGAGTCATGTGCGTTAATTCAGCTAGTGTCACTGGCATATAATATAGTGCCACACATTATTCTACATCTAGAAATATTGCCGTTGAAAGGTCTGCATGCAGTCACCATTGTCTCCAAAACAAAGGTTGTACGCGTCCTCTCAACACTTTTTAACTTATGTTCAGTATATCTCAAGTTATTTTTTATAGATGTAACTTAGGAACTCATTTAAAGTTTGTTGTGGACACCTGTCACTACTAGCCCACATTTTATGAAGTATATTGATTGTGTTTTAATTTACGCTCATCTATTGACACTTTTATTTATCTCATTACTCATAGCGTCAATTGACATTACAGTGGGGGAGCACTTACAAAAAGTAGAATACAGAAAACATACATAGGCAGCCAAACCAATTATGAAAGTCACCTCAATCACAATCCGAATCAAAAGTACATATAACAATAAAAGTGCAACACACTCAAGAAAAATGCAACACACTCATTCTAGCATAGAATAGAACAAATCATTTAAGATGGTAGAGGCAATGCTAGAAGGCAGTTGGTTCCATTCTTTCACTGTTTTTGTAAAACTTATTTTGAAATACGCCAACCTTGCACATGACTTTTATGATCTTGAATCTATGGTCAACGAGAACTGAGACATAGTACGGTGCAAGTATATATTTCACTTCATCGGTTAGGTATAAAAATGCTAAATAGCATAAAAACTACAATCGCAATTTGAGTTTTGTAAAAAGATATTTCAGTGTTTATATTTAAAATTATTCTGGCGTGTCTATTGAGTGTCTATAATAAGTCAAAAAGAAATAATAGCTTGCTGTTGACCGTAGGAACTGTGTGGGCATTGAATAATTTTAAGAACTTGATAATCAACCTTACGGAGCTCGGTGAAAAGCGATTTGTATACATTCAAGCTTGTCCTGTAGAAGTATTGTGAATATCAATGACCTATAGCTTGACTGCTAAAACTTGTGTCTATAGGTCTCTGCGCGCGTGGAAATGGAGACTATTATTATTATGTCTTGCCAACTGTGCAGTAAAAAATGTATCTTGTACGCGAAATCCGCGTTCCGTTCTACGAATAATTCATCATTGACGCAAATAACAGCGCTAAATAGCTGGTTCCACAGATATTCCTTTGTGGGCATCCAAAATTCCGAGTGAAAAATATTTCATCCGTTGCAAAAAATTGAGAAAGTTGCAAATAAAGCAAATAATAAAAACTTTCGGGTCTGAGTGATGATCAAAGCCATGCAGGCCATTCTGCACGGAGAGCAAGTGCTCTATCACACAGGTTTGAGTCTACTTGGAAATACAGTATGAATAACGTCCTCTGGTTTGAAATGCAGGAAAAATAACTGTCGCGCTTACCAAACACACACATTTTGTATACAGGTCTCAAAGCACAACATGTATATCGCAGCAATAGTACATTGTCATAGTAGAAGCGTACAAGCGTACATTGCCTTTGTACTATAGTACAAGCGTACATTGTCATCGGACATCACAAAACCCCCTTATCAACGTGACGCCGTGGTTTAATGACAGCCAACCATTACAAAAAACACACATGTTACTGTGCGTATTGCCTCAAGACTGCTTAGTGTAAGGATAGCAAGTTCTAAAATATTTTACGCACATAATATTGAGAAGCGCGGTCTGCGGGGCGAGTTGGTAACTCATCCTAACTGAGTTGTGCGAAAAAATTGAAGTACAAAAGAAAGACACCTGGACACAGCGCACACTAACAACTGAAACTCTATTGGAGAAAACAGACATATATATGCGGTCACGAGAACATGTGAGGGGAAAAAGTTGAGAACATAAGGAGACATCTATTCATTTTATTTCATCATGCGGACATTTTGCGGTGTATGGCACTCCGCTGTCGTGTGGTATTATTTTGGATTCAATAATATCAATATGGATCACAAAACTTTTCCAAAAAGACAACCAGGCTCTAATCTATCATCGCACTGTAGAGAGTGCGGCTGCGCATCCTAGTTTGATGAAACGGTAGATAAAGCTAGATTCAGGGACAAGGTGGCGCGGGAAATTGAAGAGGCGTATCTCATCAACAATGCTTCTGATTCATGTGTCCCGCAACCCTCGGTTATGTTGCTTGCCACTGAGAAAGGTTTTCTGGAAGCACGTCGTTACTACAATCTGTCTGTTCATCTAATCATTTTGTTTCACCGCACGTGTTCTCGTAACCACATATATATGTCTGTTTTCACCAATAAAGTTTCAGTTGGCAGTGTGCGCTGTGTGCAGGTGTCTTTTGTCTTTCTTTTGTCCTTCAATTATTTCGCGCAGCTCAGTTATAATACCATAATATTGCTTGTAGTTTGAACTGTGCTACCCTTTTTTTATACAGAATGCAGTCATGTTGGCAACCTTCATTGAGACAAGACACTTTAAACTTTCTTAACTACACAATATTATTTTACACTTAAAATTGTTCATTCCCATCATAAAAAAAGTGCACACTGATTGATTGAATTATGCACAAAATGAACAGGATATTGCTATCGCGATCAACTTTGAAAAACGAAACCTATTGGTGCCACAGTTTTTTTAAGTAGCAAGTCCTAATGCATCAGACGAGTTTATTTGTTGGACTGCATAAATAATGTACAGTGCTCAGGGATGAAAACGTGACTTCGCATTATTTTGTGTAACTCTGTATATGGGTACATGCTGTTTCTCAAGATAACCATGCGATGTTGCGACATCTGTAACGATAATGTTGCCTATGATGTACGCATTCTGGTCAAAATTACACTTATGTGACCCAAACTGTAGAGCGTGGAAACAAAATAATGGGCCATTTCCATAGCTTTCCCGTTTCGATCCGTGAGCACTGCCCCCTGCTTTGAAGAACCAAACTAGCAAAACATTTTCACTGCGTGCCCTTACCCAAACACGCGTAAGTATAAAAACAGGGGGAAAGTACGCGAAGAAAGGCAAATTAAAACGCGGTTCATAAACCTCCTGACACACTTGGAGATGGAGATACTCAATTGTTTTTCATTTGTAATTGCGCGAATTGCAATTTATTCTTGGTAGTTTCTCAAGTAGTAAAACGAGATAAATACAAAACAAATATTTTTACATTGTTATTTTGACGAAATCAACACTAGCAAGAGACCTATATTTTGCTGGTGTAGAGATTCTGATTGAATAGAACTCTGTCTAGGAGAAATAGAAAAAAAGTGTCGTATCGCTTGAACAAGACAGCCTTATCACGTAACCACGATTACTATGAAGGTATATACTCATGGAGTAGGCAATGCGCTATGTTTTTTGAGTTATCATAATGTGTGCGAACAAGGTGCGTTGGTAATGAAAATGATGAACTTACCTTAACATTAAACCCGAGACTTGTCTTTCATGGAGCCTGGTAATTCAGATAACCTATTCACACATTAAGGCCACCAAGTCCATTCGTACTGCTTTTGGGAGAAGTTGTGAAGGAAAACTGGCCTGCAAGCAAGGGTGTCGTTTTTTTTTCTGCACGAAAAGTTGACGATCGCCAATCCAGCGGCGTACACGCGCACACGCAAACAAAAAATGTCCATTCACAATTTCACCATGTACAGATATGTAAATTCCTGAGAGCTGCGTCATTATTTTGTATAAGTTGCAGCAGTAGTTTATTACGAAATAAGAGCAAGAGGAATGAAAAGTGACACGATCCGCACCGAACCCACGATTACGGCTAACAAAGAAGGAACAATGGCGCACATGGATACCTTGCAGGCTTGACAGTGTAACCTACATTACCCTTGAGATCAATGAATTAGGTGCTTTTCACTTGAACTAAATTTTCCTAAGCCTATTGGCAAACGAAGTTTCATTTGTTCACAATTATGAAGCGTTCTCATCACCATTCGACTGAATGTTTGCACAAACTATTTTCTTCATCATTACTGGAAATTGGCCGCGACACTTTCTTGTGTTTAGTGTCGACCAACTGCTGTGTCCAGTACGCTTTCGAATTTTTCACCCTTTCAACTTGTTTCCTCTCACATTCTTTACCGTGCGCAACCCTTGCAAACTTGGATACGGCTGCAGTGCAGTCAGGCGAGTT